ATCTATATAAAAAAAGAAGCGCTTTCATCATTCTTCTTGCCTCAATAGCAGCATCAGTCCTGTGAGGTAAAGATCACTGTTGAGATCAATTCCAGCCCACTCCTTCACAGACTGGGTACGCACTTCAGAGTTCATGTGCACCTACTTCAGCATTTCACCTGATGTTCCAAAATGAGAATTTGGGCTCTTGCTGATCAGTCAGCCTGTCCTAGTGTTCCATCATGTCTGTTGAAAAAAGTCACATACGGACACCCTGCAGTTCTCATGCTGGAATGTGGGAGTGTCAACATTGTGCTCTGCTCAGACATGAAGCACAAAGTTAAAGTAGAAGTGTGGGCTGGAATCCTTACCTGACAGTTTCGGTGCTGTCACTAAAACAAAGAGAGGCATAATAAAGTATTAGCAAGGAAATTTTGCATGTAAATATATGTACATAGTCTTTTGTACATCATCATTGAGACTAGCAGCTCTCACGAGTGAGAGAGTCCTGGCTTTAGAGTTTCTTTGCCACGAATAGTTTCCTCAAGTGCCAAGTTACTGCTCATATACGTTCAAACTACAATCACGAGTCATCATCTGAGCATCATGACTCACAGTTGCCTGGACGCTCATTGTGTGCATGTGCGTGCGTGCCTGTGTGTGTGCTTTCTTACGGTAATTCAGCCTGGCTCAGGTTTTGGCTGTGTTCTCCACTGCAGAGGCCAACACTTTCCTTCAGAAAGCTGCTTCTTCTCAAAAAAGCCTTATTGGCATCATCATCTAAAATTACAGCGCATTCAAAAAATGACCAAAGCATTCAAATCTGTTCCTTATACATTAATCAATACACACACAGCTAACTTCCCACTGTTAAACCCTCTTTTATTCAGTCCCCTTAGCCCTTTTCGTTTTCTTTAACTTTCTCTTGGTCTCTCTGCCTTCTCTCTCTTTCTCTCTCTCACTCTCTCTCTCTCCTCTGTCTGTTTGTGAGGACTTATTGTGCTTTTTCAATTCTTGCAGACATAGTGCAGACGCATGGTCTTTTCTGTCTGAGCCTGGCAGTCCTCTCCTGCTTTGCTGTCCTGCAGGGGCTTCTGGGTAAAATAACAATGTCCCATGATTCTTTGGTCATTTTGCTCTACACAAAAAGAGACAGAGAGATGGAGAGAGAGTTTGGTTGTAGGGAACATTATAATAAATGCACCCTATGAACATTATGCATCTATGAAAAGTAACAACAATAATAACAGCAATACTTCAGTGAATACTTCATTATGTTAAATCAAGTGTACTGATGATGGAATTTAAAAAATCCATGATGGCTACGAGCTTCACGCAGAAATCTGGAACCAAACTTTGTTGTTCAGCGTAGCTCACAAGATAGCAGTTACTTTTTACTGTATTTATGGTTATTCGCAATTTAAATGATATTCCTAGGTGTTCTGTATGTATTTTATAAATATTTATGTGTAATGATAATTTTCTAAGCCTAACCCTGAACTCTGATCTTAACTTCAGCAACCAAAAAGAAATAATTTTGCTCTTTCAGTTTAAAAAATAAAACATGGAACCATGCAATAATGCAATAATATAAGGTTGTTATGTGTCACCAGTTGACAGCTGAATGTTTTTTTGTTTGTTTGTTTGTTTCTTTCTCTGTCTGATATTCCCTAAGATTGTTAGGTTTTTTCTTGTTTTGTATGTCCACATATTTAAAAGGAAAATTCTTGTATGCAGCAAACTCTTGGAGATGTGCATAATTTCTTAAATGACAGCAATAATATTTTTTTTGTGAAAAAAATAAACAAAGTGGAGATAATTTAATTGCTCTTGAAGTTCACCCTGTTTTGTCCTCAAAATGTATAAAAACAAGCACACATACACACACTCACACAGGTCAGCAGGGGACCAGGAGCCTTAGTGGCAGACTGGACCATGAGCCTAAAAGGCAGATTCTTCTTTTCAGTCTTTCTTCTGCTCTGACTGCTGTCTGTGTGTGACGCTTGCTTTATAGCTGCAGGCTGAGCAGTTATTAGAGGAAAGCAGGAAGATTACTGAGCAACTGCCATAAATAGAGCCAGAGAAGTCATGTGATCATTCTTTTTTAAACTGTTGTTTAAAGCAAATATTGAAACTTCACATTTGTCGGTTCCTTCAGTTCTGCATTTATGGCAAAGAAAATTGTGAAAATCTAAACAGCGTTCTATTTAAAATTTTTCATTCTTTGCAAACACTTTTATTGTGTTTATTTATTTTTTTATTACATTTTTTGACTGGTTTTGTGTCTGACCAGAACCAAAAGGTCTTATTTGACCCTCAGAAGTCACTGTTATTTCTAGCGATAACAAAAGCTTGCTGTAATTTGATATTGATTATGTCTCACTTGCAGCTCACTGAAACATATGAAGAAATTCTGTGGAAGTTCCAAATTTTAAACTTTCAATCCAAAACACATTTGTGTTATCTCCAAAACATTCTTAACTTTTAATGGAAATTATAGCAGAATTTAGCTCCACTTACCATATAAGTGCAGACACAGCACTTCTGCTTATGTTTTTAAACACCTCAGTGTCACCGCTGGACTGAGAATATTCCACCAACCAAAAATATCAACAGCGTCCTGTGTGCAGCGTCCGGTGACCACTAATGAGGGACTAGTGGTGGACTAACACAAACTGTGCAGCGACAGATGAGCTACTGTTTCTGACTTTACATCTACAAAGTGGACCAACAAGGTAGGAGTGTCTAATAGAGTGGACAGTGAGTGGACACTGTGTTTAAAAACTCCTGCATAACACACTAACTATTGACTATTGAAGAACAGGGTAAAAGGGGGCTAACAAAGTATGCAGAGAAACAGATGGACCTCAGTCTGAAATTGCAGAACTACCAAGTGCACCTATATAGTAAGTGGAGCTGATAAAATGGACAGTGAGTGTAGAAACAAAGAGGTGGTTTTAATGAAGAGAATGGAGGTACAAGGTTTTGTCCTGATAGCAATCATACGATAAGTAGTTATTGATATGCTCACAGTTTTGTACAGTCCATCCTTTACTTTTTGAAAATGGAGGTAACTGGAGTTTTGATAACTAACTTTGTCATTAACTATGTATTATGTATCGCGTATGTACAATATGTATTAATTTTGTAGGTACATTTCAGTATTACAGTAAAATGACTATAATAACTTGCACTAGTAAGGGACAACATTGATGGTGAATAGCAGAGCCGTGGATGCCTTCGGTACTTTGTCCTTAATTGGCGTTGTGAAACAGAAGAGCTTAATCTGTGTTCCATTCTCCATTATCCCCAGTCCTTTACTCTAGGCTTCAAGGTTCCGTCTCAGAGACGTCCAGAGAGCCTGCCTTGGGTTTACTGAGCGTGCCCAACACCCTTAATACCCCGTCTTGTCTCTGTGGTAACAGCTCCGATGACCCTGCTCTAACTACGGTCTTGAGAGGAGCATGCTGTCTTGTGAAGTTTTAAGAGTGATTAAGAGAGGGTAAATCCAGCCATGTAAGGAAAGAGCTAGCAATGAAGTGACAGCAGAGGCTATAGAGGAGGACAGATGGGTTGCCAGATCCTCTCTAATGAACAGGGAGTGTAGTATGCGGGTGGGAGACTGCTGCCTCCCTGCTTCTTCATCTCTTCTCTTCTCCACTCTGACTCATTACATCACTCTCATTGCATAATGGACGGGATTTATCAATTAATGACATGGGAGTACCAACAGGAAAACCGCCGCATTGTGTTTGTGCTTGTAGAGCGCCGTCACTAAGGACTATTATCTTATCACTGCTCCAGATAACCCACATGGGGGCTTTTCTGTTCTCCTGCCGCCCAGTTGAAATAACTTCACAGAGTTTTCTCGGCAGCGTCCGTGTGCGTTCCACTGATAAGCGCTGAACTGTGCCGCAGAACCTGCATATACTGAATTAGTGTCGTTGTTACACGTAAAGTCATGGTTCAACAGAGAAAATTCAGATTCACCCTTACTCAAAACGCACGGACAAAAATAATGCTTGATTCAAGTGTGTGCAAATGTGTGCATTGGTTTCACGTGAATAAATAGTACACCAACACGGTTGCTGTCATTCCTTTTAAGTACTTTTGGCAAGAATTGTTGATATAATGTGTTTTATTTGCGTGGAACTGATGTAAAATTTGAATCAAGCAAATTCAAAGCAACGTTTAGCGTATAGTCCATCAGCTATGACGTTTGGTGTCATCTAGTTTGTTTAGTTGCTTCTTTAGTTTTGCACTGGAGCCATGAGGCTAATTTTGCTAGCATGTTGTGGAAACTTATGTAGAACAACCTAGAAGCTACCTGCATGCCTAAATCATTACATACTTGGCTCAAATTAACCATGTTGAATAATCTTAAATAGACTTGTATGTATTGAAATAGACGTCATACAGTGTCAGATACAAAGCAAGTCTATTTGAGATTACTTAATATAGTTTTTGGCAAATGTACAATGAATCAGGCATGCAGTTAGCATGATACTAATTGTTATACATAAACTTCTACTGCTTGATAGCAAAATTAGCCTCATGGCTCCAGTGCAAAATTAATGAAGCAGTCTTCAGTAACCAAACGTCTTTGCTGAATGACTAAACACTGGAATAATGTGTTGCTTTAAATTAACTAGATTCAAATGTGTACATAGGTTCCACACATATAATATACACCACATCAACACTAAAACTAAGAAAAAGGAATGACATTAAATTAGCACAATGCTAATTGGTGCTTCCATGAGCTTGTACCACTTGTAAGCTGTATTTGCTTCAGACACCAAACACATCTTCTTTGAATATTGCGTAAATTAGCTTTTTTTGTCAAACTGTTCCTTTAAATCCTGACCTTTGCAGTGTGAAATGCTGGGAATCATCAGGCTTCTCCTAGAACGAGTGGAGAAACAGAGGAGACTCTGGCTTCTTATCCTTTGAGTGAGAGCAACCTGGTTTGAAGCGAGTATGTTTGTTAATGCTTTACATTTTTTCTGGCTGTGTTTCAGGTCCGCTCTCCCGTAGCCCATGTGAATTGTTGCCAGTGGGTGCCAGCCACCCTGTCCAGGCCTTCCTGAAGAGTTTCACGGCCCAGTCTGGCTGCGCAAGCAGAGGAACCACCAGCCTTCCTCAGGAGGTGCACATCATCAACCTGCGTAGCAGCAGCCCTGAAGGAACAGGAGAGAAACCTGCAGAGGTAAGACTGTTTCCGCTGGTAGGGCATAAACTCATTGGTCCCTTTATTAGAAACACCTCCCTTGTAGCTCCACCTTGCTGGTGTACAGTTAGAGACTGTAGCTCATGTGTTGATGCACAGTTTGTATTAACCAGCCCTTTATCAGTGTTCAGTTTCTGATCACAGAGCCATGCTTGGCTGGATATTTTTGGGTGGTGCAAAAACCACAGCAGCACCGCTGTACCTGATACACATGCTAAGAACAGACCACCATCCAACTAAGGTCTTCTGTTCAGGCAAATTGTTCTGTCATTTTGGACCATTTCTGTTGTGTTTTCACTCTGCAGACGTAGTGTGCACTGTAGAGTGCTGCAGAATGGACTTGATCGGCATTAACTTACTATGATGGAGTGGACTGAAAACATTTTCTGGGCACTGCAGGCTGGGCGTGTTGTTACGAGATGTTAGTCGGGTTGTAAGTGGAAAGGGATGTTGTAGAAACAGCGTGTTGCCAGTGAGGTAGGGTGTGTGTGTGTATGTGTGTGGGGGGGGAGGGTGAACCTGCTGTGACTATCAGATTAATTGATGTTGTAATTGCTGGACGCCCTTTCTGGCCCAGCGCCGCGCTGACTCGAACACATTTCTGAAGAAACAGCATCGTTTTTGTGTTTACTTTATCTTTGTTCAGCGGGGTGTGCAATCAGAGCTGAGACACACTCCCTCACTCACCCACACATACACACAGCGCTGCTGGGGTGATCCCTGATGGCTCGGTTGTCTGGCGGTCCTCAATTCTATTAGTGAGCAATGAGCTTGGGGAGGGAAAAAAGTATAGGCTGGAAAAAACGAGAGACAGTCCATCAACTTTTCAGTCTGCACACGTCCCAAGAAAAACAGCAGTGGGCCCCAAGTGAGAGGGGGGCTAGGGCTTCGGTGGTTTTGTCCAGCAAGGAGAGAGAGAGGACAAAAAGAGAGAGGTAGTGAGGAGAAGGATAAAAAAGAGGCAGAGGAAAGAAGTAGAGTATATCTTGGCTAAATAGCTGCAGTTGTTAAGCACTATCAGCCATGCGGATCAAGGAGAGTTTTTTATGTCCTTAGCCCTGTGGGTCCAGCACTATTGAAATACAATATCAATCCCTGTCCACAAGCACAATCACGGTTATAATGCGGCCTTTATGCTTCTGACCAAGGAGCTTTCTGCGTTAGCGGACACATACTGCGCAGAGCTAAAAGCTTTAGTTTCATCATAGCCAGAATAATCAATGACCTGCAGACCCCTCCAAATCATCAGCCATTTAAATACTTTTCCATACTTTTGGAGTCCGACTCTACCTGAGAGTTCGTTACATGCGTGACACTGACAAAAAGTGAGAACTGATTGGGAAAAGTTTATGATGTACATTAACTGTACAGTAACATAAACTGTACAATATTCTGTCTGAATGCTATTCTGTGGCCTAACTGAGCTCATGGGTGTTGTTTTTTGTTTATCTGTCTTGTGGTATTCTAGAGCAGGGGTTAGAAGAAATATGGCAAAAATATAGTATCATGATACTTTAAGAAGTTTTCACGATTACACGATATATGTCATGTATCATATGGGAAAGACAAAGTAAAAAAAAACAAACTAAGAAAACAATGCTTTGTATTCAACATTTCTCATACCTTGCAGCACTTAATCCAAATAAACAGGACTAATGCTAACTTTGTAACCAAACATGTAGTCGGGAAGTGTTTGTAGTCCTATCGATATCCACGGAATCCTCAGAAAAGCGTATTGTGACACACAGTGTGATGTAATTTATCACAATAACGCAGCGTCAGTTAGCCCAGCCCTAGCAAGGATCTTCAGCTGTGGTCCTGGAGGCCTGTGTCCAGCACAGTTTGGTAACTCCTCTTTTTAAAAACGCACCTATCAAACTTGGCTTAGGTTAAATCAGGTGTGTTTGAGGACCAGCATCCAGCACACCAAACTGTGCTGGTCGCCGGTCCTCCAGGACTGGAATTGAAAACCCCAGTTCAAGAGCTACAAGCCACAAAAGGTTGTACGTTGCTGCTGCTAAGCAGGGTGAAAACATTCTAACACACACTGTCATGCAGCTTCCATCAAAAACTTTACACATTAGTTGATTTTGAGATGATATATTAAAAAACTTTTCAGGAGAAGGACAAAATATCCTTATAATGGAATAATGGAAGTTACCAATTCAGATATCTTGAAGAGATGATAAAACACTTGCATGTGTGAAAACCGTGTCAGAAATTTGTTGTTGTAGAGAGACGGTTCATTCTGTGTTTGCACCTTATCGACATTGATTTTGTGTTTATACTGCAAACTAACTGCACCAGGTGCTCCAGAGTGCAAATGGCAGCATTCTCACTTTTTCTATTGACCTGCTCTAACAGAGCAATTACACCAGGGTTCATTTTAATCTACCCAAACCTGTGAATCTGCCCTAATGAAACTTATTTTGGACACTAAACATGCCTTCATGCCTAAATATTCATATAAGACTACTTTGAAGTCGCTTCTGTTAATTTTCTTCTGATTCTAAATAAATACTAATGATTTCTTGTATAACTATGTTTTATCACCTGTCTGTAAAGCACTTTGAGCTGCCACAGGCATGAGAAGTGCTATATAAATAAATATTATTATTATTATTATTATTTCTCTCTGTTGAGTGCTAAAGCAGGGGAGCATTTGGCCCAGATAAATTTGCGGCAGAGAGATCAGATTGTTGTTGGAGGCTCCAGCGCATAAAACAAACGTACAGAGAATGCTATCTTAGATAGAGATGCAGCAGGGATGAGGGTGGCAGAAAAAGACAGTCATCAGATTGCTTCGTCTGAGCCTTATCAAGCAAGTGGGGTATTAAAGTGTTTCTTAAACAAAAAAAAGGGCTTTCCAGTCAAAAGTGTGTTTTTCAGCCTGTTAGTACAATTTTGTTATACACTGGTACTTTTATTCAGCACTGTGATCAAGCAAGCAGGGTAATAACATGTTTATCAAACAATAAAAAGGGCTTGCGGGGCAAAAGTTTTTGCTTAGAAGGTCAGTATTTGAGACCATATTTCCATTAGTCACTGTGTGAAGGGTTGTGATGGATTCCCATTAGTCAAGTCAAATTAAGTTTATTGTCATATGTACTCAGAATACTGTGAACTGTCAAATACAGTGGAATTACTGTAGTACAGCTCTGACTCCTGCAGACAACATAAAGTGGTGGGGTATTGCATGTACTATGCCAGTAAAACCAAAAAGGCAGCCAGGATAGAGTGATATGGAAATTGCAGAGATACATAGCTTAAACAGACACTGCAATAGATTATACATTGTACAATATAATATAATATGACACTGTTTTATACTATAATTTAGTGTGATGTATTCCCAAGTCGTATGTCAGGCTCTTTTGGGGTAGGGCCTATCAAATAGCATTACTCACACTCTTTGCTTAGCCTGTGCCATGAGTCATTGGTCCCTCCTTCTAGATATGCTTCATCAGGCCTTTGGATAAGTCCGAGGCTCTGGGCCAGCGATGTGTGAAAAACATGTTTGGACTTAACACTGGCTCCAGGAGTGCAGATTCTCAAAACCCCACTGATCTCTGCCTGTGCCAGATACAAGATTGTTTTTTTCTTTTTTAAACCCATGATGTGATTAGTCTTCAGTTTTTGTTGGCCATTGAAGGAATTTACTTTACTCCCTCTGTGATGCCATTGTGGTGTATTTGTATTTGTAGCTTGGCAACAGCTCTACGGTTTTTCCTGCTTGTGTACTGCAAGGCCTGCAAATAACTGAGTAATTGAGGCAAACAGTTGAATGAAGGCCAACTCGAGGTTTACTTAGTGCATATCTAAGGAGGCATATAGGAGTTTAAACTGCAGTCCATCTCTTTTCATTACTCTAGTGCCTGTTTGCCTAGTTTTATTTGAGCAAGGAAAGGAAATACAGGGGAAAACTGGAAACGTAGAATTTTGAAACACTTCACAGACACGTTTTGTGATTCAGTAACACGTGAGAGCTGTCGTGGTGCTGAGTACAAAGACAGAACACAAATCCCTCACCTGATATTAGGCCAATTCAAAACATGTGTTTTCCATATAGGGCTCTGTTACCTTTATACCATTGTTTTGTACCTAGATGTAGTGTTCTCTGGGGACTTTTCAAAAGCCAGTTTTTGTCCTCCTCACTTTCAAAGTTAAAAAGCTAAATTCCATTCTTGCTGCCCAGCTCTTATAATCTGGATGACAGGAATTATGGGTTATATGCCTGATAAACTATCACAACCAGCAGATTTTTGCTCTAAACACATGACCAGCAATCAACCAGTTTAGTATTTTGATTTTGGCTGATCTGTATTGCAATTTCATTATATAAATAGCTGCATTCATGCTGCTCTTACACTAAAATGTTAAAAAGCATAATTAGGCATGACTTACTGTGCTAAATAGTCAGTATCCTTGCACTTTTTAATTTAGCACTGTATATGATTTATATTATTTAAATAAGCAACTGTTTTTTACGAATTTAAAATGCAGATTAAGGAGCATATAATATTTTTATATTGCAGTTTAACTGATAGACTAAAAGTACTGGAACATGATTTCATGTTTTCATATTCCATGATGCCATTGGTCAATTTGTTAGTAAAGCAGTCGGAATCGGAATTCACCATAGAAATTGGTGCATTCCTAACAGATTATCAGCATGGGTTGATTGATAAAAGTCCATCTGAAGTTGACCACACCACTGATATATGTATCACCCTATGCTGTAGCCATTTCCATGGTTATACTACACAAATGTCCATTGGAATGCTATACATGATTATACAAGGAGTAACACGTTTTAGAAGACAAACACAATGAATTCCAGCACATGGAAGATGAAGAGACAATGAAATTTAAAATATTAAGTCTACTAAGGTGAAAAACTTGTAATTTGATGATACTGTGATCCATTCTGTCAGCACTAACTTCAGTAACGTTACAGTTTATTAGCTGTCATTACCAGG